TGTTAGCAAAGGCTGTTGAAGTATAGTTTGCCTTTATTTAGAAAATATTGATGTTTTGCTCGTTAACTTTCCTGTTGGAACAGTGTAGATCGACCTTGAGGTTTTGGTGCCTATCTTTGGCCACCCCTCAGTGTAAATTGGTTATTGCCTGACCACCCTCATAAAAATGTTCTGGCTGCGCCTCTGCTGCAGAGAGGTGGAGATGGTGGGGGGATAAAGCCTTCAGTCCCTCATTGGACCGGGACAGAACCGCTGCAGAAACAGCAGTTACTCCTTAATCCCTGGAAAACTGTTTTATGACCGTGTTTTGATTTATTACTCCATGGATTAAACATGAGAGGTAAACAGTTTTTAATATTAGGTTGTTAAATATTGTTAAATATTCATTAAAACAGCCGGGCTGAGCTGGGGGATTACAAATTGATTTCTGATGAAAAGTTTCAATAAATACCTTTGAATCTGTGTTGATGGAAAGACAAGAAAAACCAGCCGCCATGACAAACAGCATCACACATTTGAAAGCTTTCAAGATGCTTTGGATTACCAAAGGATTCAACTTATGGTTATGAGTTAAAAGTGGACAGAAGACAAGCAAACAGCTTTTTAGGAAAACAGAAAAACTTATTAAACGAGCACTCAGAGGAGTATGCTTTTAAACTCAGATTTTATTTGTTAACGTATAAAGACTTAGAACAATAAAGGAAAAGATACAGTAACTAGCATAGATTTTTTAACATAACAGTATTTACTGATGGGAGCCTGAACATAAAAAAATACCAGAAGCTTTAAAACTGTCCAATTTATCAAACATCTGTGCAAACATTTTTGCATGAAATTAAAAAAGTGTAAAGTCAGTCCAGTTATTTACAGAGAGGAGGCCACGTAGAACTAATGTTGGCCCTTTTTTTGGTAAATCTAACCTCCTTGCAAATTGTTAATGTTTAAAGGGTTACTTAAAAAGCTCAGCCTTTAGAATCAACTAGTTTGGATTCCTACTAAATGTAAAGTAATAGTTATAAAACTGAGTTAAGATATCAACCAGTTATAGCCTTATAAAACCATTTCTGTTTTATTCAATTTTCCTAAAACATTCAGTTAACTTTAACCATTTTGTAGATTTGGACCTTAATTTGTTGGTCCATGAAAAAAATTTATATTGCATTTTATCATATATGATACAATTTAAAGAAAAATCTAATTAAATTAGCTTTTAAAAGCAAACTAAGTTGGTAATAGAAGGTATAAATAGTATAAAGATGTACAGGCTTGCACTGCCACCATGTGGTGCTTTATGGTACTGCTCAACAACCTTCATAAACTAGGTTAAGACTGAGAACAGGAACTAATCACAGCTATTACCAACTACTAGCACAAAGATATGCATGAGAAAATAATAGCAGTACGATTGCAAAGTGTATAAACATACACAGAGGTACAGTTTTACTGTAACAACAAATATCATGTGAAATGTCTCTTTGAGGTTAGACCATGTTTAAACTGACTCACACATCACACACCCTAAAGGTACGCTCTCAGGGCTTCATAGATGGGAGTACCGGTACCTTGATGACAAACACCTCCTCTGCAAAATTCCAATCTCAGAAGTTCACTAAAGCAAAACACTCTCAAGCTCTTGCACAAAAAAATCCTCTTTTTCCAATTTGAAGGACCATTTTCTCCCATTTCAGGCTGGTCTAAAACCCTCTAAACTGCTGATAACAGCCCTTTACTTTTATGTTACTTTATTTAATGACGCTCATATCCACATAATGCACAGAGCCAGCTCTCACTGACGTCATATCCCATATTAATGGGGTTTATTGATACAGTTTTTAGAGAAACAAACGACTGAGTCTATGATATTATTTCTAAAAACTTCTTTTGATTTAACAATGCAAAAACGGGTGCTGCTCAAAAAGCCGCGTTAAAAAAAAAAAAAAAAAGAGAGAGACAGAGGGGGGAAAAAAAGCACAAAAATAAAGTTGAGGCAGGAAATGTTTGCCTAATTTGCTTTAAAAACAAAATCTTACTCTTTTAGCATTACCCGTTTGGATTAATGTATAAGCATTCCCCCCCAAAAAGGAAAAAGATGCAATGGTGTGTTTAGAATATAATGGCCATTTTAGATATTAGGCGTAATCTATGATGTTTAAACTTAATTTGCTTATTTACTAAACCATAACCCAATTACTGGCGAATCAAAGTGCATCGAGCACTAAAGTTTCACTCAGGGTGGAGAGGAACTGGGAAAGCAGATAGCCTCCAGAATCAACCATTTTTCAGCATAAATAAACCAGACCGGTGAAAGTAAACCACAAAAATGATCTGTTTACGGTTTGTTTTTGGTAGCATGCTGTTACTGATGGAAGACAAAAAAATAAAGTGAATTGTTTTCAGCTACTAAGCAATGTTTACCATTTGTACTCTGGCTCAAATAGATAAAAGAATCTGTTAAAACAGGACAGTTAAAGCTTTTTAAACACTAAAAAACAGTGTTCTACTGAGGTGAGTTGGTTTGGTTTACATTTGCCATTATTTAATAAGCTAAAATAATAAACATTCTGCCCAAAAAAAACATTCGGCCCAAAAAAAATCTGCATGTGAATTGGACTCAAAGTGTTTTAGTCCCATCTACCACTAAACGCCACATTTACAGATAAAGAACCATAAATATGTAAGTAAAACAATAAAGAGCTTAACAGGCAGCAGAAAGCCGGAACCAAACCCACAACTTTCCAAATGCACCGCATAGTGTAATCTATAAAGAGAGTCTCTGCTCACTGCTGATCCTCAACAAACATCCCAGTACTTACTGTAACCAGAGAACAGACGCTTAAATAAGAAACTCTAAGCCACTATTATCTCTTCCGGTTTTGTCTTTGACTGGAAGAGGCTATAAGCCACTTATCTAAACCCAAATAGCCTGCACACCTGAAGCTGTAAGAAGCAAACCAATGCAGGGTTGTCTTCAAAGGTGCAGCTGACGGGAAATTGGTGGGATCTGAATTTGTTTAGCAAGATTGGCTTTCTGACAGGGGGAGGGAAAAAAAAAAAAAAAAAAAAAAATCAGAAAAATGTTTTTTTCCCCCCACATAAGAATAAGTTACCTTAGTTAAATGTTTGTCTTTTCTTTAGTAACTCCTTTCTGATATATGGGGAACAAAAAGTGCAAAAAAAAACCCAAAATGACCAACAAATGTATAAAAAGTACAACAAAAATGATAAGACCACTCATCAATCCAATAATAATAATAAGACTAACACAGAAGAAATGCTACAATCACAGAAAACTGGAAGCAGCAAACTTTCTGCAAATACATAAACACACTGCAAACAAACCCACATCTAAAGGAAAACATGCCACAAATAAGAATTTCCAAGTTAAATAAAAAGCTGCAAAGTAGCTCCAAATAAACCAACCATGAACTCCTGTTGGACCAGGCCGTAGATATTGCTAAAAATAAATGGACCTCAGAGATAAATCTGACTTCTTTAAGGACGTTTGGAGGAAAGAAAGGATAAATAGCTTTTTATTTGTCCTTTCTCTAATCTCTATAACCACTTCGTCAGTCTTTCCTTAATGCCTGGTCTCATATCAGCACATTTATCTATTGGCATCATGTTTGCTCTATGTTTCTTCCCATTTTTTTTGTCTAATTTCTGTATTTGCACGACATTCACACCATTCAGTCACCTTATCTATATGATCATACTGTCTGGCAGGAGGTTGTGTAACGTGTTAGAGAGACTGGTGAAAAATCACAAGTTTTGCCTATAGAATTTCTGTTTCTTTGCATTACAATGATGTAAACTACTTTGAAAAAAAAAAAACATGAACTTGTGTGGAAATATAATGATAAAGAGATTTATTTACAGAATAAGAAGCGTG